TTCCGTAACATTGTAAGTTACACCGACTAATACAGCCACTCCTGATTTCCTCGATCAGCAGATGGAGAGCGGATATAATTCGCTTCCTGGCTCTATGCCAATGTAAACGAACCCAATCGGCCTACCAGTGATTTTTCGCTTCAATGATTGATCTCCTTTATTTAAAATTTCATTATATTTTTCACTCATTTATAACTTAAAAACTCCACCACACAACAGAATGGAATCTCTCCGCACTCGTCTGTATCAATTCCAATATATATAATATTTTTGCGATAAATTTATAACTTTATTATTATAACAATAAAAACAAAAAAATGTTTGTCACAATTTCAAAAAAATGTAAAATATATAATAATTACTTTGAGCTAAACTCATTAAATTGTCTGGGTTTTATGATCTGTATTTACGAATCTAATCCCAATTTTCCAAAATTCAAAATGGTGGATCCAATATGGAGGAAAAAATTCGCATTACTTTAAAAAGTTACTTTAAAGGACATTTTTTCCCAAAAAGGAAATTTAATTTTAAAGTTAGGAATATTGAAATAGAAAAAAGGAACGTAAAAGAATTTTTTTTCGATGCAATGAATTTATAATATATTTACAACTTATATCATATACACGAGTCAATCAATTCTTTTCTCAACGGTGACATAAATACTCTTCCATAGTATAGAAAGCAATAATTATTTCTCAAGTTTAAAAGTCTCTTGCATAATGATGACATTTATTATTATTATTCAAATTAAGTCCATTCTGTTCAGTGACAAAAAAAAAAAAACAAATTAGAAAGGAAACAGGAAAAAACAGTTAAAATCCAAAATTAATTTTTTAGTGTAGAAAATTTCCATTTTTATCGTTTTAAAAGAAATATAAAATTTAAAATTAATCTATTTACGAATTTTGTACAAATAACAAAATTTATAAATAATACCACAGTTGTTGACCTCTTTCTATTTATACATCCTGATTTCGTATACACTAATTAATGAGGAAATTCATAGCCTAATAAGAATTTGACTCGATGCCAAATATTGTCAATTTTTTAATAATCCTCTTACAAATTTCTTTTTTTAAAAAAGCAGAAAAAAAGTTCATTAATTTAATTACTGTCAGATGATTCATAACTTAATATCCCCTATATAGTATAAAAAGGGTAAAATAATTAAATCATAATACTTCAATTATCAGCTCATTTATCATTGCAGCATATTGAAAAATTCCTAACACACAATGAATTACTGTCTTTTTTTTATTTCATATTGTTATATTTTTTATAGCGATTTAAAATACGTGGTGCATCCTCTGATTATCTACCCACATTGCTTAGTGAATTACACACACGAAAGATAATTTTGAAGTCATTACATGCATCTTTCAATAAAGTATGTTATAAACGCTTTGCTTAATGACATAGATGACCCATAGACTAGAATATGCATAAATGATCCTATATATTATAATATCAGGGTTATAGGTCCGTACCGTAATAAATACGCACCCATTCTACATTTACTCTTATTTTTCCCTTTAATAATAACAAACTATTAAATCTTTACATTTCTTTTCAACTCTTTATGTTTTTCATAAAAATAATACCTTCTCGTGTGATGAGAATGCAAAAATAACCAAAAACATTTTTTAACGAGATGATAAAATAGAAAAAGTTTCTTTAAACTTCATGTCACGTTTGTTGTGTCTTTTCTCTTAAATGTCTAAAGTAACACATCCTATTCACTCTCGAGTCATATTTAGTGCATATCTACATAATTTTCAAATTATTACAAAAGAAGAAAGAAAAAAATATTTTCAAGAAAAAAAAGATTAACAATACAATATTATAAAAGAAAAGCGGAAAAGAACAATCTTTTTATTATAATAAAAGAACTAGCAAAACTATTTTCTTTATCATTGTTACTTTGAAAGATTTGCTTTTTGAAATTTAATGAAAATTCTTCATCTTTAAAAAATATAATTTTTCTTTAAATTTAATTATTTAAACAACTGGTATAGAAATCGCCAAGATATTTCTAATAACTTCATTCTAAATTTAAAAAAAATTTAATTAGGTATTCTTCAAATTTTCAATTAGAATTCTTCAAAAATACGATTATTGGCATATGAAAATAATTTTTGAAAGTAAACAAATAAATTCATTAAAATATTTAAGTTATTTCAATGAAATTCGACAAAATATTCAATTGTTTCAATTTTTTAAGTATATTTTCGGAAATACAATTTTAAAAAAAATTTTAATTACATTTTTTCTAAAAACAATTTTTCGAAATTTCAGAATGAAATCATTCAAAACTTCAATACTTTTTGTTAAACAAAAATTGAAAAACTTATTCTTATTTTTCTAGACGAATGAAAATTTCAAATAATTTCAATGAAAAACCTCATGAAATTTAATTATTTCTAAAAATTGCAACTGTACCTAATTCTTCCAAAATTCAATTATTTTTTTTTAGATTTTTTGAATAAAATTATTGAATTTTTAAAGAAAAATTTTAACTGCAATTTTTTAAAAATCAATTTCCATCAGAATTCAACGACGAGAATTGAATTATTTAAATAGAATAATTTTTATAAATTCAAAAAATAATGTATTTTCAAAAATATAATTATTTATAAATAATGTTTAAGGGAGTATTCTGGTCTATAGGCCTCAATTTCAGGCGTTTTTCCGAGTAGAATAAAAAAGAAAGTTTAACATTTTTAGTATTTACTTTTCTTGCAAGTTGTTTATTAATGTTTAAAGAGTACAAAAAAAAATTAGGAAACAAAATAATAAAAAAATTTAAAAGTTATAAACTGATGGAGTGGGGACTAAAAAAAAGAAAGTGCGTACTGGTTGACAGTGTGGAGACTTTTGTAATGTTCTAAAACAAAAAACTCAAAGAAATTCTTGATTATTAAAGGCTTTGCTATGGTCGGTACCTTGGAAAAGAAAAAATAAAATTTTTTAGCAAAATGGCGACGATTTAAAAAAAATGGTGTTTTTTGATTCTGTTTTTTAACTTTTTTGAATTTTTTAAAAATAGTAAAAAAAATATTTTTCAAAATCCAAGGTTCCGACCATAAAGAGATATACAAAGAACATTTCTGAAAAATTTGAAGTAAATCGGTTGAGTAGATTTTGAGTTATCGTGTCAACAAGAATTTTTTTCAATTCCCATTTCACCAGTTCATAACTTTAAAAATTTTTTATTATTGTTTTTCCTAATTTTTTTCTGTATTCTTTGAACAGTAATAAACAACTTTCAAAAAAAGTAAATATTAAAAATGTTAAACTTTCTTTTTTATCCCACTCGGAAAAACGCCTTAAAATTGAGGCCTCTAGACCAGAATACCCCCTTAAAGATGAAAAATAATTCTTTAAAATATAAAATTTCCAATTGTTTCAGTTTTTTAAAATTATTTTCAGAAATTCAAGTACATTTTCAAAAAATTTTAATCACTATTTTTCAAAAACCTAATTTTTCCAGAATTTCCAAATTAAATCTTACAAATTTCATTCATTTTTGTAAAATAAATATTTAAATACTTATTGTTCTTTATTTCCTTAAAATTTCGAAATGTAAAATGTACTTTTAATGTAAAACCAGAGGAAAAATTTTTTATGAAAAACTTTTAATTTTTAAGGAAGCTAACAAATGAATAATTTTTTTTATTTAAATATTACGATACTTTTACAGGAATTAGAATTTCAAAAAATAAAATTTAAAAACTTTTTTAAATTTAATTATTACTAAAGAATCCTACTTTAACACTTCTATATTATTTTCTAAAAATTTAACTTAAATTATTTTTGAAATCAATTCTTATCATAATTGAATTATTTAAATACAAAAATAAATAATTCATGGAATAATTAATTATTTTAAAAAATTGCAACTGTACCTCTTTATTGAGTTTTTGAAATTAATATTAAATTTTCTTACTCCTTTTATTTTATTATTTACAAATTAACTGTCAATTGACATAACAATTCAAACTATAAAACAAAAAATTGGAATAAAACAACACTAACTTCACGTGAGGACAGATTATGTCGATTATTATAATTTAATATTAAAATAAAAAGAATAATCAAGATACAGATTTAGAATATTTAAAAGATTATTAGTTATAAAGCAGAAAAGAAATTATATTTGAATCTATAATTTCATGCTTTCTTTTAATTCTCACTTAAAGGAGTACATGGAGTATTTAGTCGGTCTTTTTACTCATTTTCTTCATTACGATACTTATATTTAGCACTTGACATTCAGACACTAACAAGCGTTACCCCCCAAGATAGTTGGACATAAGTTCGCGAAAGTTTAACACAGACCTTCAAACCAATGTCCTTATTATTCTAATTATTCCTATTTAAATAAATTCAAACTTTGACAGGCTGTATAACTGAATACATTAATTAATTGCGACATTTAATAATTTATTTATTTCTTTTTAAAAATGTTCATGTTTCTTTCATCAATTTCTTTCTATTTTTTATCATTTTTCAATTTAAATCAATTTTGCTAAATTTTAACACTCACTTTTTCTAATGATATCAAATTGAGAGAAAAAAGTGCCATTTTCTTTTTGCTCATTTGTATCAATACAGTAATAAAAAAATCTTTGATGTTATTTAAGCTGCAACACTTTTTAATACCTTTTATAGTTTAGTGCAATTTTGTAATATTTGACAGAATATTAAAAAATAAGAGAGAATATTAAAATACAAGAAAGACTATTAAAATATATGACTATTAAAATATAAGAGAGAATATTATAATATTAACCAGAATATTATAACATTTAACAGAATATTAAAACATTAAACAGAATATTATAATATACGAGAGAATATTACAATATTAGAGAATAATATTATAATACAGAATATTATGTTAAAAGCATTTCTTGATACTTAATAATTTATTTCACTTTGTATATGAGTTTTATGTCGGTTTTATGAGAATTTACCGCTATATGACTTGAAAACGATTTGTTCTTGTGTATACAGAAAATAGAAGTCTAGAAAAGCATAGTATATAGGAAACAAGTCAGTGGCGACAGTGAGAATTCTTTCCATGTAGGTGAAAGTAAAATTCTTTCCACTATTTGCCAGTTGAATGTTTCCAAGTTCCAATAGTTAACACCTACAAGTGCATTCACCCTTCCCAATGTATATGACATTCCTCCTCTCGTTAAAGATGATTTCATAATTCATCATTAACCTTCTTCCTCACTCTCCCTCCCTCTCTATATACAGATCTATTATTACCACCTCTCAAACCTCGACAATCGTTCTGAATTGTCTCCGTCTATTTTCATTTCAAATTATATTCCTCTTTCTCCATTAAACAATTTTTCAACATTAAAACAAAAATCTAAAAATTGTACCTTCTTTAGTAGACCAAAAATTACATTATTAATTCCAATTAAACTATATTAATCCAAGTAATGGATGATAAAAAATAATTTTGCCACATGAGAAAAAAAAACCTTTTTTGAAAACAAAACTAGAGTTTCTGGTTCAAAGACCCCGCCATTTATGAAATAAGGAAAGACACATCCAGCGTGGAAACCTGTTTGATCAATGATATAGGCTTCTCAATCAAGTGTATATACGTATGCAGTGAGCGACTCGTCTAAGAATCAAACCCACACACAACTATATAAAATCTCACAAGAAAAATGTCAAGAAAATGGGTTAAGTGTCCAGTAAGCTGGTCGTTTTTAAACGAAAATATCGAAGATGTGGAACAAGTAAGTCTGAAACCGGAAATTCAACAACTACTTGGCTGTAAAATAAATGAGGACGTATTTCTTGAATATCCATTTGCATACGTTCCAGCAGAAATAGTGAAAAGACTCTCAAATAAATATCAATCGCCATTCGAAAAATTCAAGGATCAACTTGAATTATACAAAGATTCAACATTTTTAATCGGCTACGCCTCTAAGGAATTATCATCAAATGAATTTGTTATTTGCCTATCGGAAGTTGCACGTGATATGATGGTTCAAAGGAATAGAGATATTACCATCAAGATTCACGATTACGTAAGAATGAAAGTGGAAAAGATCCCTCGACACTGGAGTTCATTGGGAACTGAAGATGACCTTGACTCTACATTCCTTAAGAATGCAAGACCCTATTATGAAGTGGAAATTTCTTTGCCAATTTGTCACATAAAACAGAATCGTCAACTTCAAGATCGTGCCGTTGATGATATACGAGATGGGTATAATAGTTTTATTAATAAAAGCATTTTTTTACTTAAAAATAACTTTTTTTAACTACAAAATTTACTTTTATTAAGCTAGCAAAAAAAAACATTTCAAAGTTTCTAGATTATTCATAAAGTACTCTTTCACCTTAGAAGTAAATAAAAGTCATTAAAATTTTACAACTTTTTACATATTATCCATATAACAACTATACGAATTATTTATTCCCAAGTTGCAAAATTAATTCCTTCCCTAAGAAACAAAACTTATTCAGCAAAAAAAAACTACTAAAAATTCTTCATGGCAATCAAAATTATAATATTTAATCCCACTTTCAGATACGTGAAAATTGTCCCTCAGTACGAAACCTTCGATAACGTGAAAATGAATCTAATTTGCAAGGCAGTGCAGACAAATCTGATAAATCGGGAGAATTCCGTTCAAACATATCCTGGATATCCGAAAAATAAGTGGACCCAATATGAATACAATTGTTTCCCAACTGAAGAGTCATCAAAAAATGATCTGATTACACAAAAGGAGGAGAGCACAGAAAAAGAGGAAATCGACGAAACTGAAAAACAGACAACTAAAGAATCAGCAGACGAGGAGGAAATTCAATTAAACGAAAGAGAAGCAACATCTTTAGAATTATTTCTCACTAATAATCACATTGACGAAGTGACAGATGTCATTAGATACAATACAGCCATCAATCTACACACCGATGACATATTAAATCTCATTCAACACGTTAAAGAAGAATCAAAAATCAACAATCATAACAAACGCAAAGAGCTAATTTCCCTAATAAATTTAAATTTTACCAAGAACAAAATTATCGCCGACATTTCCTGGCATCCTGTTCTAAATGATGTTGTTGCAATTTGTTACCTTCACGAAAAAGAATCGAAACTAAAAAATTCCAGTGTCAATGAAGCGAGAAATAATTTCAATGATAGTGCTACTGATTTTCAATTAAATACCAGTGATAATAAAGAGATTGACACTGTGAAAGACGATAAGCTCGAAGAAGATAATTTAATGCAAGATCAGAAAGAAAATACAGAAACACAAAATAAGAATGAAGTCACCGACGATGATAATGAAGATAATATTGATGATCATGACAATTTCCTCGTAAACCAGGTATTAATTTGGTCCTGTTCAGATCCACTCTATCCAAAAATGATACTAGCAAGTCGGGATACAATTCGAGTAATTTCATTTTGTCCCTACAGACCGGATATCCTAGTTGGAGGCAGTTCGACCGGACAAATTGTCATTTGGGATCTTCGCGATTTACTAACAACATTGAAATTTAATGAAATTGTTTCTCAAGTTCCGATAATAAAACCAGTGGTTCTATCGAATCAGGAAACATACGACTTTCCAATAAAAGACATACAATGGTTACCCTCATGGTATGAAGTAAAAGTCGATGGTAGTTTAAAGAAATCCTTTACACAAAGTTTACAATTTGCAACAGCTTCTGACGATGGTATTCTATCAATTTGGGACCTTCGATGGCAAGTGATTTCAAGACCAACTTCAAAATCGAAAAAAACAAATATTGTCGAGTCATTTGATCCAAATAAATTGAATGGCATCCTACGACCAATTTATCAAATTCTTCTTCAAGTTCCGAAAGAATCTTGGACTTTCTCACCAACAAGTATTTGTCTACCTTTTATGAAGGATGGAAATTTAGGAACTAAGGATTTTGATGACAGAACCAATGAATTATTAAAGAGATTTTTGGTGGCAACTGCTGAAGGTGAAGTTATTAATTGCTCTTGGGTGGGACAAGAATTCGAAGCAGAATCATCTTCTATGGAAAAATGCAATTTTCTAAGTCGTTCTACGATTCACGATGGACCCGTGTTGGAAATCTCTAGGTAAATCTTTTTGCCTCCTTTCCATTGTCTTCCAATTTAAGAAATCGAAATTTATTTTCAAAAACTACATATTTTAAATACTTTTACAAGAATACTTTTTTCAATACAGATGTCCATTTTTGGAGGACGTGATACTAACAATCGGAGGGAGAATTTTTGCAATTTGGAAAGACGACTACTTAGATTCTCCTCTACTCTGGAGAAAGAGACACTGTTCATACACTTCCTGCTGTTGGAGTAGTAGAGCAGGAATTTTTCTCCTCGCCAGAATCGATGGTGAACTTGAAATTTGGGAAATAACGAGAAAAACACAAGAGCCAATTTATCTACAATTCATTTCAACTGGACCAATAACAGGCCTCTATTCACGTCTATCGTCCAAAATAATTGGAATCTGTGATCGAAACGGAGGCTTTCGAATTTTTGCCGAACCAGAAGAATCAGATGAAGAATCCCTCGAAAGAATTGAATGGTTCGAGGAATTCGTCTGGAGAGAAGTAAAAAGAAAAAGAAATTTCTTTCTCTGGCAATTAGATTTTCTAAAAACAAATCCCACAGCTTTAGAGAGGAAAAAGGCACGAGCTGCCGATGAAGTCAGAAGAAGACATCAAGAGGCGAGGGAAAAATTCCAAAGAGAACAAGAAGAATTATCAAGACTTGAAGCTGAGAAAAAAGCTCGAATGATCAAGAAACCAAAAGCTGAAATCTGGAAATCTCGTGATCATGAAAGAATGAAAAAAATTCTCCTCAAGAAAAAAGGTTTCAATCCTGTTAAATTAGAAAACAGTAGATTACCATTGGTTCAACAGGAAAACGACAGAAATTTAAAACTAAAAAAAGCTCAACATGAATTGTCCAAAAAGGAAAAATATTTCAAAAATCTTTTGTCCATGAAATTACCATGTGTTACCAGAAAAGAAAAATCGGATCTAAAAAATACTCCTATTACAAATGACATCGAAAAAGAAGAAAAAAATTATAAAGAAGAATTTTATAAAATTCAAAACGAAGCTCTTCAAAAATTACACGAAACTTCTTTTGTTCCAAAATTTGATTGGAACACTGCCATGAGAGAAGGAAGGCGCAGAGAGTTGTTGGTGAAAATAGATTGATTTACAAAATTTTATGATACGAAACAAAAACATATTTTACAGCTTTTCTTTAAGTAGAAAAGTAACTAATTTATTATAAATAAATTCTTTAATTATAGAATTAAAAATTAAAATTACTAATTTCTCTAGTTATAAATTAATTAATACTTCTTATCTTGTAACAAAATAATAAAAAAAAGTTACTTAAATTATAAAAAAATATATACCTATAATTATCAAGATGTCAATTTTTCTCCTCATTATTTTAAAGATTAACAAAATAGAAATTGAGTAAAATCCTTGTGTGAGGCGTAAATAAATACACATAAATATATATATAGGTATAAAGGTATATTTACAAGTTAAATGTTTAGCATAAGCTCGACAATGACTGTATGGAGCGATAAGATAAGCGAATCTTCCACACATTCTGCTTTTGTAAGAAACACAATTTGCGGTGTGAAAAAAGAAGAAATTCGCACTTTATGTTATACCGATACAATTCCTTTTTAAAAAAAACTAGATTAAACTTAGTTCCCATAGAGGGTTTTTTTAAAAAAATAAGATACATAACAAGTTATTCCTGTCGGGCAAATCTAAATTACGTATTAAAAAAAATTATTTTCTTCACGTACAACTTTTATCATTCGAATTACTCGAAATATTTTTTTTTCTTTTCTCATATAATTAATACAATAAATAAATATAAGTTTAAAACTAAAACAACTACAATTTTTGCTAATATACTAAAATTTCTAGCTGTTCCAGATTTTTTTTGTCAAATGTAAAACTATTTTTTTAAAATTTATAATTTCAATTTAGATAATTTTAGTTTATTTTCATGTCTGGGTATTAATAGAAATTTTTTTCGTACAATATTTTACGGAACTGTTTGTTAAATAATTTTTATTAAATTATCCAACGTTAAAAGAAGAAGTTAAGACGTAAAATTTATATCTTTTTGTTCAAATTTCATGAAACGAAATATATTGAAATTGAATTATTTTTCAGCTTCTCGGATTAATTGCAATGATCTGTGTTGGTGCGCCTTATCGACTTTCGTCAGCTCATTGGTTCCTTTTTGTTGGATCAGTAGCGTTTATCATCACCTTCTTCTTAATTGTTATCTACGCTTTTAATCTCAGAGAATCTACAAAATATCCTCTTCAAATGGTGTTATCTTGGGTAAGATATTAAATTTTTAATTCAATTTATTTTAATTACTTATATATTAAATGTTTCGATGTTAATTTCAATTATAAAAAAAAATTACATAGAATAAAAGAATTAATTATTGTAATACATTTTTCAGGAAGTAATGTATACAGCTGGAATAACATTTTTCTACTTCACTGGGTGTCTTGCCGTTCTAATATCATACTCAGGGTATCGCGGTAATGGATCTGCAATAGCTGGAGGAGTGCGTATAAATTTATTTAATTTTATTGAACGACGTATAATTATATGAAATATAAATAAATAATTATTTTTGTTATAAAAAATTTATTAATATTTATTTATAATTAATTAATAAATAAATATTAAATAAATAAAATAAAAAAAGTAAATAAATTATCTCTAATAATTATGTATTATATTTCAGCATATTATTAAAAATTTATTTATTTGAACATAAACGGGTTTCAAAATTAGAAAATTTATAAAAAAAATGTTTAATATTATTAAACACTATACTACATAATAAATATAAAATATGAATAAATATTTATTTTTATTACTTTACGATAAATTTTTATCTAGAAACATTAGTAAATTATATTTATATATATTTATTAGTATTAATATTAAAATAGACTACAAAATAAAACAGACTTTTTTTCTTCGAAAAAATTCTACAAAAAATGTAATTAATTCAAATGATTGATATTATAATTCAAATAATCTAATAAATTTCTAATAATAGTATATAAATACCATTTCTAATAAATATTTATTTAACAGTAGTCAAATAACCGATGATTTGAATTAAATACATTTTCTGTATTTCTTATTCCTAAAGAAAAAAAGAAAAAAGCTTTTCTTACTTGGTACCCTATTTCTCTAATTATTTTTCTATCAAAATCATTTTTCTCTAACATTCTTTTTTCACTCATTTTTTCTTATCAAAAAATTCAAAAAACAAATTTTTACAAATCTGATCAATAGATTCTTTGCACCCAAAAAAAATATATTTTGCTCAGAGCTTACTTCTTTTCTTTATTTATTTCAAACAAATTTTCGAATAAAAATTTTCTTTGATTCAAATAAATTTTGTTTTATTCAAATAAAATTTTTGTTTGGTTTAAATAAAACTGTTATTTGTGTCAAATATAATCTTTTTATTTAATTCAAATAAATTTTATTTCGTCTAAATAAAATTTTCCTCTGCGTATAAAAGAAAAATTAAAAATATTATTTTATTACCAAATAAAAAACTAATAAAACTTATTCTATTTCAGGTATTCGGATTACTCACAACAGTGGCATATGGTTTAGGATCATTTTTACTATTCACGGAATACAAGGCCATGACTTCCCAATGAGAAGTCAAAATTCACACCGAAAGGAGTATTTAACACTTTTCATCATTCGAAATAATCCTGCCTTAATTTCAAGGATTCATGAGAAATCCATAAAAGTCTCAAAGTCAAACGAAATGATTGTCTAAGGACTTAAAAAACAAAATGATTCAAACAAAAAATAGTACCAATGTGCCTTACTGTCCTCGCTGACCTTCAAAGTCTTGCTCTACGATTTCAATAAATAATTCCATAAAATTTGTACAAAAAAAACTTATATTAACCCCCAGACAGGAAAATACAAAAAAAAGAAATTGTATTCCTTTAAAAAAAGATTTCCAGAAAAATCTTTTTTCCTCGAAAGTAAATTTTGTAAAAAATTTTCATTTTTGGAAAAATGAAACAAAAATTAAAATAGTAAGAAAATGAAAATTTTGCGACATTCGGAGATAGAATCAATTATTGTAGAATATAATTTAATATATTTAATTTAATAAATTTGATAAATATAAAAAATTTAATTAAGTATTAATTATTATTTTCGTCTGGGAAAATTGAAAAAAATATTAATTTTTGTGCACAACGACTTATACTAATTGTTATAAACAGAAATCGTGGAAATTGAACCAAAGCTCTTATGCGTCTAGAAATTGCATAATGTTCGTTTCACATTGACAATCCTCCATTAAAAAACAAAGTTTCCTATATCAATTTTAGTTTATTTAGTTATATATATTTTTTTCAATTACTATAATGGCTTGTAAAAATTTCACCAAGCCAATCTCAAACCACTTTATTTCAAAAGTGCCACTTTTCTCTATTCTTTTTAATTTCCGTTTCTTTCCACTTATTAATTTTCATTTTAGAGAAATAAAGTGTAATATTTATTTAAAAAAATATTTTTCGTCCAAAATAAGTATTAGTTTCCAAAAAAATTCCCAATAATTATAAATAATAAATAAATAAATAATAAAAAATTCAAATAAAAAAATTATTTTTCTAACCAAAAAAAATATACATATTCTAAAAAAATAGTTAAGTTTGTTATTTATTAATTTACATATAATTACAAATTATCACAAAATAATACAAAAAAGTATTTAATAAAAAAATATTTTAGAAAAAATATTCTTAAACGGAGAAAAATATTTATTGTAAAGTATTTAATAGAAAAAAATGTTCAATAAAACATATTTTTGTAAAAACTACTTGATAGATTCAGTGTATAAAATATTTGATAAAGAATATAATAAAGAAAATAGTAAAGAAAAATATTTGAAAGAAATATTTAATAAAAAAAAATATTCGAAAGAAATATACAATAATAAACAAATTTCATCAAATATTTCATATTATTCATTCACTTTTGCTTTCTCATAGAGAAAGGATTGTATTTAGATATGTAAAATAAATAATTTCGGACGAAAAATTAGAAATTACCCCAAAAATAAAAAAGAATTCAAAGAAAAATATATTTTTTAAGGCACTTAAAATAAAATGTATCCACTTAATGTCATAATCACTATATAATTTCGAAAAAAAAATTCAAACCCGTCCAATGCAACTACTAATAATAATTAGGATTGTCAGATTTTTAATTACACATTTTTCACAAGATCCTAAATGTCTCTAGGATATATATATATATATATAAATATATAAATAATATAAAAATATAAATATTTAATAATTAAAATATAAAGCATTGTTATTAAAAAAGAGAAAAGAAATTTGCGTTTAGTACAATCGTCAGTCGCTGACTTACAAATACGATTTAAAACAAAGAAAATTCTGAATCGTCAGCGGAAATTATTTTGTTTTCTATATAATATTGAAAGTACAATTTTTTATACTATAAATTACAAATTGAAGAACTGTATAGATAATCCGCACACGATTTACAGAATTTTTCTCTATATAAAAATAGGGAAACTCGAATCATAATGATACTTAATCTTGATATGAAACTTCTTAAATGTTATTACGTAAGTGATTATTTATGTAAAGCACCGACACGAGTCTTGTAAATAAAGATGTCGTACAGGTTTTGAACAAGAACAATTATCATTAATTATGTATTGTAATGGAGTATGAATATAGTCATAAATAATTGTTGAAATCATTAAGAATTCATAATATTAGACGAAAAAGAAATGTACCTAAGCTTTCACATAATGAATTTTCTAATATTTTTTTTCTTCTTTTAATTTTATTAATTAAGCCTACATAAAACTTTTTATTAACTTTCTTTAAGTTCCTATATACATGCCTGTATAAAAATGTTTCTCGAATTTCAATCTACGTTATAATCTCAAATTTGAATTCAAATAGATTTCCTGAATATAAAACAAATTCCTATAAATTTATATTGATAGTCATTAAAATAATAAAACGAAATACTAATTGATAAAAATCAATTTTCAAAATAGAACCTAGGAACCTATATAAGAACCTATATAGGAACTTGCAAAAGAACCTATATAGGAAGAATGAATTATTGAAAAATCGAGAACTGCATTTATATATCTGTTAAAAAGAAATTTTCGCGTTTTTTGTTATTTATTAAAAAGAGAACTATTAAATATTAAGTTAAGGTCATCAAGTGTGTCCCATTATGTATATCCATTTTGACATTTTCCTTTTTTTTTATTTTCCAAGTGTATTTATTCCTGAACAATGGACAATTAATAAAACTTAACGCCGAAGTGAATAGTGTTTTATTAATTTTACGAATTTATTTTCAATGCGTCATTTAAAGATAGAAAAAATAACCTCATCACGATCGACCAAAATAAATTCCACGTATTACAAAATATGTTAATTATTAATTGGATAAAGTTATTTAGAAGAAGACCATGGAAATTACAAGAGCAGAAAAGCTCCTTGAATTTATAAAAAAAAAAGAAAAAACTTCTTGGACTTTCCGGAAGTGTATCTATTTCGTATATAAGGAAACTTGAAAAAAAAATTGCCTGACCATAATGGAATCGATCTACTGTGCGTCGATAAAATCACACCTCTCGATTATAATCTGTTATAAATTATACAGATGGATAATTTTCTTAGAAACTTTTCAATAGAACGTATATTTTTTTTATTTTGTGATAACAAAATAATAAAAATTGAATCTTTAAAAACAAATTACTCATTAGTTTTCAGAAGTTCATTTTTTAAAAATTTTATTACATATAGACCTAAAATTAGTTCATACAAACAGAGATAATGCTTAATGTGAAGAAATTAATATAATTATTACATTTGAAATTTATTGATTTTTAATTATAGGAAAAGCCAGAAAATTTAATCTTCTGTTTGAAGAAACTAATATTTATTCTTAAAGTCTAATTACTTTTCTGATATAAATAAAAAGTTTAATTGACTTCAATTTCTATTTTCTTATATTTTATTTACATTTTGTTTATATTTTATTTACATTTTATTTACTTACTTAAGTATTTATATATAACTTGTAACATTTTGTTTACTTATGTTTTGGCTCCATTTGTTTATTTTGGTTTGATTTGCCTTTTGTTTACATTTTTGAACTTATTTATATTTCATTAATTTAATTTATGTTTATTTATGTTTCATTTACCTCTTATTTACATTTTATTTACTTACTTAAGTATTTATATATAATTTGTAACATTTTGTTTATTTACGTTATATTAACATTTTGTTTACTTTTGTTTTGGCTCCATTTGTTTATTTTGGTTTGGTTTCCATTTTGTTTACATATTTTTACTTATTTATATTTTACTAATTAAATTTTGCTTATTTATGTTTTATTTACCTCTTGTTTACATTTTATTTACATTTTATTTACCTATTCAAGTATTTATATTTAATTTGTAACATTTTGTTTATTCACGTTTTATTTACATTTCGTTTACTTATGTTTTGGCTCCATTTGTTTATTTTGGTTTGATTTGCATTTTGTTTACATCTTTTTACTTATTTATATTTTATTCATTAAATTTTGCTTATTTACGTTTTATTTGCATTTTGCTTACATCTTATTTACATTTTGGTTATTTATTTATAAATTACATTTGCCTTCATTTTTTATTTACATTTTGTTTAATGTTTGTTTATTAATGTTTTATTTGCATTTTCTTTATATATACCTTTTGTTTACTTATATTTATATTTATTTGTTATATTTTGTTTGCATTTTGTTTAATTACTTCTTCTTCACATTTTTTTACTTCTTTACTTATTTATTTGTTGTATTTTCTTACATTTGGTTTATTTACGTATTGTTTACATTTTTCTTACTTATGTTTTGTTTTCATTTTGTTTATATTTACGTTTTATTTACATTTCGTTTACTTATACTTTGTTTACTGTTTTTAATTTACGTTTTGTTTACATTCTGTTTAAATAATTAATATTTTATTTGTTACATATTTTGTTTGCACTTTGTTTATTTGCGTCTTCTTTACATTTTTTTTACTTATTATTTACTTAATTATTTGTTACATTTTGTCTTCATTTTGTATATTTCTGTTTTGTTTAAATTTTTTTTACTTATAATATTTTATTTATTATATTTTATTTGCATTTTGTTCATTTACGTTTTGTTTAAATTTTGTTCACTTATTTACAGTTTTTTTTTGCATTTCGTTTATTTTCTTTTTTTATTTACTAAGAAAGTATTCTATTTCATTCAATTTAGAATTTTTTTCCAAGCCCTAAATTTGATAACAATATTAATTTTTACCCTCACCTATACACAAAGAAATTATAAAATTCAAAATAAATAACAAAAAAAAAAGTGACCCTGTTATAATCGGTTTTTTTTTTCATAAAAAGTGGTCGCGCGCGCCTTAATTTTTTTGCAGCACGAAAGTATATAAAACAATTCGTTGGTGTGCGTGGGTTGATGATATCATCGATGACGTATAGAATATTGTGTAGTAACGGGTGTATGGTTTGTGAAGGAAGATCTTTTAGTTTCAGTCAATCGCGAGCAGTCGACCAGATTTCCCGCCTTTAAGGTCAGTCTGTCATTGGTCATTCATGTATATAAATATATTATAAACACTACTGATTTTCCTAATTATTTTTCTTTTTTAAATATTTTAAAACATTTAAAAACCGGTGTCAATTTCAATGGCTTCGCATACAGTTTCCCTTTAAAATTTCAATTCGCATTGCAAAATATTTTTTATGCCAAAAGGATCAATTCTTCAGTCGCAGCATTTTTTACTATTTTTCAAACTTTCATTCAATTTCAAAAAAATTCTATTTTATTTTCCCCAATATCAAAAATTACTATACCTACTAAAATTAATAAATTTAAAAAACAAATTAAAAATAAGTGAAATCAACGAAATTTCAAAACAAAACAAAAATTTAAATCTACCAAAAAGAAATCTTGATGAAAATACAAAAAATTGAAACTGAAACAAGTTTTTAATGCGGAAAAAGGAAAAGTTTTTTACAAAATTATTTATAATTGACTAATTTGGTTTTTTATTTGTTTTTTTTTTCTTCGCAACAATTAATATATGTAAAAAAAAGTGGAATTTAAAAAATTGTTTACATGTGATTGATGTATATAATACGTATGGTGGTGTCGTGCTTAAAAATAAACCGTGATGACGCCTTGTTATTTCGCGTTCTAAGAAAATACCATTGGATCACCTCGCGAAAAGGAAATTTGGTACATTATTCGAAGTTTATTTCTTTTCGGAATCCGATGATCTCAATCTCTCTCCCGAAAATTTTAATTTACAATATTCTATATTTAAAATAAACGAAACGTTCAACATTTTAAATAAATACACGTCACTTTTCCGGGCAGATGAAAATAAATGCCATCCTTTGAGGAAATAGCCATTCAATTCCAAATTATTATCAATTAAATAATCAGTTTTTCTAAGGATATCAAATTGAGACAAAAAATGAATCAAAATTGTTGCGGTGCAACAATTTTAATTCATTTTTTGTCTCAGTTTGATATCCTTAGAAAAACTCTAAAATAAACATTTTCGAAACTTAAAATTTTTCTCTAAAAAAAGGAAAATCAAAAGTACATGGAAAAATTCAGTAAATAAAAATAAAGAGAAAAAATTTTAATTTACCGATTTACATCTGACAAATAAAAATAGAAAATGACAATTGATTAGCGGCGTATATTAAAAATTACTATTAAAAAATATGAGTAATTTGTCAAGCATTCTTGATTGAAAGGTTAAAAAATAAAAAGTGATTATATTGAAGATTCTACTGTCATATATTTTTACATCGATGCTGATTCAGAACATGTTGTTTACACTTTTTTTATATGTATACATATATGTATACATATAGTGCGCGCAACACCTGTTGGCTAAGCGAGTATACATACAATATCAAAATACTTCTTCTTTGAAAAACTTTATATTTATTTCTTTTTTGAATTTTTTAAAATAAATTTCCTAAATTTAATTAAATTTCATTATTTTAGCAATCTGAGAAAATTTGCAATCAATGGAAAGCTTCATATGAAATTTATTACCGCCAGTATTGATTGTTGAGACGCGCCTTAGAGACGCGACTATGGGAGTGCTTTAAATATATATACGTATATATTGTATATATCTGCAATTCTTTATACACTGTATCAGATAACGTAAAGAAATACAATATAAATATGTATATAGAAAATTTCATTTTATTTTAGGAAAAAGAAAAGAAAAAAAACTTAAAATATTTAAATATTTGCAAAATTTTGCAATTTTTAGATTTTAGGTTTATAATTTTGCAAACAAATTATAATCAACTTTTTTTATTTTTCGAATAATAATATTAATTATCATTGGTATTAATAACATTAATACCAATAATATTAAAGTTGAGACACATTTTATTAAATTAAATTTTTTTTATATTATAAAAAAAAGAAATTATTTCTTTAATTAAAAATTAAAATTGATTTGGCAAAAAAAAAATGTTAAGTAATCAATAGTGGTTATTTTGGTTGTGTACGAAACATGGAGACTACTCCTGCTTTCTTCGCTATATGTAGGTCGCACCTCCAATAATCTCGACCTTGTCCCTCTTTCAACGTGAATACAGCATGCTCGCATTGCTTTTGACCAAAGACTTAAATAAAAGAAGGAAGTTACATTGTTTTTAATGACTGTAATAAGTGCAGAAAATAGCCCAGATTCTTTTCGCATTAATCACATGTAACCTTTAACGAATTTTTCAACTAATTTTAATCGACCTACACTCAGCAAGGAAAATTATACCTTCAACTTGAAGGTAGTAGACGAAGACGAAGACGAAGAAGAAGAAAAAAAAACAAACAATTACTGATGATTAAAGAGTTATTTCCTTTTAATTTCATCCATTACGATTATAATTTTCTATTTTCGAAATATCAACTTTAAAAACAACTCATTTCTCCAAATAATGTAGAAATTAAAAAAATATTAAAAAAGAAAATAAACTTTTCTTCTTTCACAAAAATAGATAATTTTGCTTCTAATGAACGAAATATTTTTCGATATTTATAAAAATTATTAAACTAAAATAGAAAATATTACAATATTTAAGTTAGAAAATAATTTTTTAATTATAAAAAACAAATAAAATTCAAAAAACAGTAATAAAAATATCGTCGTTCATATCGTAATTCTATGGACATTTTATGAACAAACAATTGAAATATTTTAAATTAGATACAAAGTTTCAAATTATGTTTATGTTTTAAAAAATTATATTTCAACGAAATTGAATTGTAATTCATTATTTACTTAGAAATTAATTTTTAATTACAAAAACAATATTTTATAAATAATAAAATTTAAAGTAAAAGAAAAAAATATCATCGTTCATTTCAACTTTCAAAACTTTAGGAAAATTAATTCAGTACTAAAAAAATTGATAAAAAAACAGTAAAATAACTCTGAAAGTAATAAAAAAAAGTAAATAATAATAAACAAAAACATAAAAATAATAATTTTTTAAATAAAAATCACATTCAAAAGATTAAAATCACATTCAAAAATACATGGTGACTCAGAACTTATAATAACTTAATTCGGTTTGATAAGAATTATAAAAGAGCATAATTTTTTCACATATAACGAGATTATTCATAATCATACATATAGGAAGAATATTTTTTTACAACTTGAATTATTATCGACAATACCTAAATGAGTCAAAAAATTCGTCACCTATTTTATTATTATTATTGTTATTGAAAAAAAATGCCTAATGAAATATTTTTTTAATTAATTTCAGCAAGTAAATTAAGGCCTAAAAATGTCTCATTCCGTGACAATTCGAACACAAACTGTGACCAGCAGTTCATCAGCTATCATCATTAATACTGGCTACTTGAAATCATGGAGTGGACTTTTAAAAGTCCTTGAATTGGTATGTGTGTTTAAATGCAAATTTCAATAAAAATTATCCTATGACACATTATTTTAAAATTCAATTCATTTCCAAATGAAATTCCTACATGAGATTTTTTTAAAGCACCTTAATAATAGTTCAATTGTATGCTAATTGTGTTATTTGGTTTTTGTTTTGATAATTATGAAACCAAAATAATTATAATTAGAAAACAATTTTTTATAAGTAAAAATATTCCATAAAATTTTGCGCTATTTATTCACTACTTACTTCCTGTTTATTTCTATTTATTTCCTATTTATCTTCCATTTATTTTCTATTTATTTTTATAAAATTTTGTTTGTTCCTATTTATTTCCAATTTCTTTCTATTCATTTTCTATTTGTTCCTATTTATTTTCGATTTTTCCCTATTTATTTGCTATTTGTTTCTATTCATTTCCCATTTATTTTCTATTTATTGTTATTTCATTTACTTGTTCCTATTTATTTCCTATTTTGTTTCCTATTAATTTTCTATTTATTTTCAATTTATTCCTACTTATTTTCTATTTGTCCTTAATTATTTTCTATTTGTTCCTATTTATTTCCTTTTTATTCCTATTTATCTCCTATTTGTTTATTCTATTTGTTCCTATTTATTTCTTATTCCTATTTATTTTACAATTATTCCAATTTGTTTCTGTCTATTCTCTAGTTATTCCTATTTATTTTCCATTTATTCCTATTTGTTTCTATCTATTCTCTATTTATTCCTATTTATTTTTATCTATTATCTATTTATTCCTATTTGTTTCTATCTATTCTCTATTTATTCCTATTAATTTTCCATTTATTTCTATTTGTTTATATCTATTCTTTATTTATTCCTATTTATTTTCCATTTATTCCTATTTATTTCCTATTTATTGCCTATTTGTTCCTCCTTATTTCCCATGTATTCCTACATTTATAGAAAAAATATTGTTACTATTGAAAAAATTTATCAAATGCTACTCTTATACTGAATGCTTATAATTTTAAATTTAAAATTTTTTTTAATGATATTTTCAATTTTTTTCAACGCAATTTTTAATGTGTACAAATTTATTATTTACAGGCACTGGGAATAGTATGTGTTGGACTAATGGGATATTTATTCGATAACTATTACCTCATTGGTTATAGTTATTCCTATACTATGATTCCACCTTCACTGTTTTACTTTTTAATAGTTACAACATTTATGATAACAACCTTCATATTACTATTAAGTTTCACAGCATCAATTTCGACAGAATCTATTTTAACAAAAACCGTTTTCGTAAGTATTTTTCGTGATTTATTAAATACTCCAAAATAGCATGAAAATATTGAGTCAAAATACAAGAAGCAGTATTTTCACTCCAAAAAAAAAGAAAAGAAAAATTTATTTAATTGAATTTTTATTTTTATGTCATTTTTATTTAAATGAATTTAAAAAATCATTGCCTAATGTTATTATTATTACATTATACTCTCTAAATCCGTATTTGTCACTTTTGACTAATTTTTATTCAAATCCCCTAATTGGTTTAGTAGAAAACTGCTAATTAATTTTTTGAGACTACGTATTAATTTATTAAATTATACTAATTTAAAAATTAGCCTTATAACAAAGGAATTCGTAGCATTCTACTAAAAATTAGTAGTTCTTGATTTAAAATTAGTAGTTTTTGATTAAAAAAAAATATTAATTAAAAAAATTAAATTAAATTAAATTTATAAATAAATTAATTAATTTTTTAATTAAATTATTAATTTTATTTTAAATTAGTGGATTTTACTAAATATACTAGATTTGACTCAAAATTAGTCAAAGTGCTTACTAATTAATTTAGTGAACGAATCGGTCCTATTTCGTTAGTCAAAAGTGACTAATTCAGAATTTAGAGAGTAGTTAATTATTTAGAGAGTAAATTAATATTAATTAATATTAATATTATTATTGATTACATAATAATTATAATTCTTTAAAATAAAATTTCAGGAACTAATTTATCACGGACTAGCATGTTTACTGATATTAATTACGGCAGTGGTTCTCTTTATAAAAATGGACAAAAGAGTGATTCGATCAACAGAACAATACAATCTACTTTTAGCATCAGCCGTAAGTATTGCAACAAAAAATTTATAAACTCCCTCACTAAAACTAAACTAAACCTGAACCCCACTTTTTGAAGAATTAGATTTTTTCTGATATTTATAAAGAAGATGTTTAAATATTGAGATAATTCCCATAAAATGGGAGAATAATAACAAGAAAAAACAAAAAAATAATGACTCAAATTATACGGAATGAATTTAATTATGATTTTCAATTATTGTGTATAATAATTAATTTTTTCAGATCTGTGCACTGGTCAATGCAGTTCTCTACCTCTTAAGTGTCATCATCGCTTTCCGTTCTTACAGAGGATTATAAAAACATTGATGATGGTTTGACACACACATAAAGTCTTTTTTTTTTAATGAAAATTTTAATTTAGTAAATAAATTTTACCATGACCATATAGAAATAATTGGATGACAATTTAAAAACACGAATTTTCCACTTTTACAGAGCATTAGAACGATTTTCTAATTTTAAAAATTGTATTAAATATTTTATCCTACGATTGAACCTCTGTAAGTGGAACGTGAATAAGATGAAATCAACATTTTTATCCCATCTGAGTGAATTACACTAATCTCATTTTAGCGGATTTCATAAAACAAATTTTTACAAATTCAAATCAACAAACAGTAGAACCTCATTCAACTTAAAGTTACTCAGTATTTTAAGTTTTAAAAAAGCCATTAATCATAAAAGTCCTATTTTATAAATTTTTTTTTTATAAAAAAATCGCAATATTATAATTTCTATTTATACACTATGGAAAAAATATGTTTTTAAAGAAAATATTAATTTAATAGCATATTTTTTTTCCCATCAGTGTACTATCGGTTTCATAAAAAATACACAAACTCACAATCAGTTAGAAATTATTTCAGAAAACTTTACATTTACAATGTAAAAATAACAAAATTATAAAGTACAATTACAAAATCAATGACACATAATAAATATTTAAAGAATAAAAAATATTTCTAAAAACATCAATTAAATGAAAAGAAAAAAAAATTCTCGAATGGTGTTGCTATTAAAAAAAAAACTTTCTACAAATAATTTCTAAATACTGCCATTATTAGTATATATACATTAAATTAACTTCTACAATATACTCTAAAATACTTATCTACGCACACTAAGTAATGTCAAAAATGTCGTGTTATTACTCTTTCTTATCAATTGAACTGAATTTTCAAAAAACGAAAAGTCTATGTACTTAAAGAAAAATTATTTACATTATATTTCAAAATAATTTTGAAATATTATATATACAATATAAATGTGCCTATTATACTGATATACAACAATAATATATTTTTTACGAAACCTTGAAATGTCATGGTGAAAAACACATTTCTGACTGCGTATTTTTTAATACTTTCCGATTTTATGAAATCTTTTAGGCATTAAGTTAAAAAATTGTATTTTATTCATTTTAAGAAAATTTCTATTCTTATTAAAATATTTTAATTTTATATAAAAGAACAAGTACAATCATATTACGCTTATGTCCTCAATAGTTATTGTGGCTTTGAAAAGTGCTTTATCCGTCTGACATTGAAAACTATTTTGAATTATGTAATTAATGTTAATGATGCAATGAGAAATTAATATAATTTAATCCTTTTTTACAAATTTCGAAAAAGTATTATTAATCAAGCTTTAAAAAAATTAATTTATCTAAGAAAACAAAATCTTTTAATAATTTGAAATTTTGAAAATTTTGAAATATTATTGCAATTTTAATTTCTAATTTAAAATTACTATAAGTACGAATATTACATTAGATATTTGAAAAAAAATTATTTAATGAAAAATACAAAAATTAATATTCTTTCATGCACAATAATTCGTAAACAAACATATTTTTTTAATAACTGAAAATTATATATACTTTTTTCTCATTGCATAGGTATGATGTTTAGAATTTAGAATGAATTATATAAACGTATATAGTTGAAGTAATCGAGAATCGTATTTAAAATAAACATGTTATACAATTATACAATATAATATGTATATGTATACTAATGTATATTTTAACCACAAAAATATATAGAGAATGCTAAGGAATCTATTATACTTTAAACAATATAAATTTAACAAAAGCAAATTGTGTCGAAAAACAAAAATTTAATTCATATTCATTTCATAATTTATTGTCACATAAAAAAAGGAAAATCAACATTTTTCACACTCTGTGTTTACTGTCCTTGTCATTTTCAAGCACAAAACTACTTACATAATTACGTTTATACAATCATTTTTCTACGATGCAAAATATTTTGCATTTTTATTGTTTAATAAATGTTTTTCGATAATTATTTAAAAACTCTATATTATATTTATTGTAAAATATATGATAAGTTATAATAAAAAAATAATTGTGTAGAAAATTTCATTGCTTATTTTTTGATTTTTCAAGTGAAAAATCAAATTTCAAATTAAGAAAATTATCTTTTAAGCGACTAAAATATTTACTTGTCTTAAAGTTGCTACAACTTTAAGGTTTACAATCTCAACAGATATGTGTTGATTTGCAGCTTATATCATGATATTAATTCTACATTTATCGAAAAAAGAAATTATATATATAACAAATCACCAACTCTTGCACGAAGAGAAAAATAAGTCATTTACAATAAAAAACAGATTGCTGCATTTCCAGTCATTAACAGATCACACGATACGACCGTTTTAGAAATGGTTTGTGAACATGCAAAAAGGTATAAAAAATTTGCTTCTTTTAGAGAAATATTTTGCTTCAATCATAACAGCAACAAGCAAATGTCAGTATAACAATTCAGAAAGATTTCACTAACTCTTAAAGCTAATACACTAATTCGAATACAGTACACCATATACTCAGACATAGATTCATCAAAGTCAGAAAAAACTATATAATTGATTGCATATAATATACCAAAACAGCATGAAGAAATAAATTTTAATGTCTTTTTTCAATAAATTTTGATTGTCTAATAGCGTTCGGGTGGAGGTGCTACTACTTAAAAATTTAAATAAAATTCTCTATTTTTCAGGATTGTGTAGGGCTCAGTCCCTACTAGAACTCAGGTAATTTTCAGATGATTAGAATTATTAAATTTGAAAGAAATAAATTTTTAATGTGTTTTTTTCCAAATTTCGATTGTCTGATAGCGTTCGGGTTGAGGTGCTTCTACTTAAAAATTTTAATAAAATTCTCTATTTTTCAGGATTGTGTAGGGCTCAGTCCCTACTAGAACTCAGGTGATTTTCAGATGATTAGAATCGTTAAATTTAAAAGAAATAAATTTTTAATGTGTTTTTTTCCAAATTTCGATTGTCTGATAGCGTTCGGGTGGAGGTGCTACTACTTAAAAATTTAAATAAAATTCTCTATTTTTCAGGATTGTGTAGGGCTCAGTCCCTACTAGAACTCAGGTGATTTTCAGATGATTAGAATCGTTTAATTTTAAAAAAATAAATTTTTCATTTCTTGTTTACCAAATTTTGATTGTCTGATAGCGTTCGGGTGGAGGTGCTACTACTTAAAAATTTAAATAAAATTCTCTATTTTTCAGGATTGTGTAGGGCTCAGTCCCTACTAGAGCTCAGGTAATTGTCAGATGATTTGAATTATTAAATTTGAAAGAAATAAATTTTTAATGTGTTTTTTTCCAAATTTTGATTGTCTGATAGCGTTCGGGTTGAGGTGCTACTACTTAAAAATTTAAATAAAATTCTCTATTTTTCAGGATTGTGTAGGGCTCAGTCCCTACTAGAACTCAGGTGATTTTCAGATGATTAGAATCATTTAATTTTAAAAAAATAAATTTTTCATTTCTTGTTTACCAAATTTTGATTGTCTGATAGCGTTCGGGTGGAGGTGCTACTACTTAAAAATTTAAATAAAATTCTCTATTTTTCAGGATTGTGTAGGGCTCAGTCCCTACTAGAACTCAGGTAATTTTCAGATGATTAGAATTATTAAATTTGAAAGAAATAAATTTTTAATGTGTTTTTTTCCAAATTTCGATTGTCTGATAGCGTTCGGGTGGAGGTGCTACTACTTAAAAATTTAAATAAAATTCTCTATTTTTCAGGATTGTGTAGGGCTCAGTCCCTACTAGAACTCAGGTAATTTTCAGATGATTAGAATTATTAAATTTGAAAGAAATAAATTTTTAATGTGCTTTTTTCCAAATTTCGATTGTCTGATAGCGTTCGGGTGGAGGTGCTACTACTTAAAAATTTAAATAAAATTCTCTATTTTTCAGGATTGTGTAGGGCTCAGTCCCTACTAGAACTCAGGTAATTTTCAGATAATTAGAATTATTAAATTTGAAAGAAAGAAATTTTTAATGTGTTTTTTTCCAAATTTCGATTGTCTGATAGCGTTCGGGTGGAGGTGCTACTACTTAAAAATTTAAATAAAATTCTCTATTTTTCAGGATTGTGTAGGGCTCAGTCCCAACTAGAACTCAGGTGATTTTCAGATGATTAGAATCGTTTAATTTTAAAAAAATAAATTTTTCATTTCTTGTTTACCAAATTTTGATTGTCTGATAGCGTTCGGGTGGAGGTGCTACTACTTAAAAATTTAAATAAAATTCTCTATTTTTCAGGATTGTGTAGGGCTCAGTCCCAACTAGAACTCAGGTGATTTTCAGATGATTAGAATTATTAAATTTGAAAGAAATAAATTTTTAATGTGTTTTTTTCCAAATTTCGATTGTCTGATAGCGTTCGGGTTGAGGTGCTTCTACTTAAAAATTTTAATAAAATTCTCTATTTTTCAGGATTGTGTAGGGCTCAGTCCCTACTAGAACTCAGGTGATTTTCAGATGATTAGAATCGTTTAATTTTAAAAAAATAAATTTTTCATTTCTTGTTTACCAAATTTTGATTGTCTGATAGCGTTCGGGTTGAGGTGCTTCTACTTAAAAATTTAAATAAAATTCTCTATTTTTCAGGATTGTGTAGGGCTCAGTCCCTACTAGAACTCAGGTGATTTTCAGATGATTAGAATCGTTTAATTTTAAAAAAATAAATTTTTCATTTCTTGTTTACCAAATTTTGATTGTCTGATAGCGTTCGGGTGGAGGTGCTACTACTTAAAAATTTAAATAAAATTCTCTATTTTTCAGGATTGTGTAGGGCTCAGTCCCTACTAGAACTCAGGTGATTTTCAGATGATTAGAATCGTTTAATTTTAAAAAAATAAATTTTTCATTTCTTGTTTACCAAATTTTGATTGTCTGATAGCGTTCGGGTGGAGGTGCTACTACTTAAAAATTTAAATAAAATTCTCTATTTTTCAGGATTGTGTAGGGCTCAGTCCCTACTAGAACTCAGGTAATTTTCAGATGATTAGAATTATTAAATTTGAAAGAAATAAATTTTTAATGTGTTTTTTTCCAAATT